TTATTATTATTATTATTATTATTATTATTATTATTATTACATCCCACTCAGCCCAACAGGCCCCCTTGTCTACATGGCAGCTGACTCCATATAGTAATTTCTGGTCTTCAATTGTTCCCTCCCATCAGCTGGTTTTTAACTAACTGTTGTAATTTAGGTGACTGATCCTTCATGAATTAATGCCATCTTTTTTTACATCCTGAAGATGTGGTGGAACATAGTCTGGAAGTGCAGGAGAAAGGGGACAAAGAGGCAGCAGAGCTTGGAATGTCTGGTAGGCAGGAAGAGGGTGAAGGTGGACCAGTGGTGGGATTCAAATACCTGAACAACCGGTTCTCTGCATGGATGCAGGCCTGGGCCTTTGAGGTTTAGAAAGGACTTCTGGAAGTGGCATCCATGCACTTCTGGTGGGCCATTCTAGGCCTAGGAGACCTCCTCCAGGCCTCTTGAGGCCTTGAACGGACATCTAGAAGCAGCGTGCATTCAGCCGATTCTCCGAACTCAACAAAATTTAGGTGCGAACCGACTGAATCCCACGACTGAGGTGGACCCTTTCTAGCAGTTCACAGAATATACCTAATAGTTATGCAGATAAATCCTTTATTCTGGCAAGACTCTGTTTGTAGGTGAACAACTCGTCAGAAATAACTCCACGTGTCATACTTGGTTCTTTGCGACCTGACAGTAGTTCAGTCCTTCTCAGTCTTTCTCACCCTGGCAACTTTAAGATGTGTGGATTTCTAATTGTCTCTTTGTTGCACAGGTCTTTCCCCAGAATGCCACCACCACTGTTACTACCACATCACCACCTTCAGCGACCGAAGTCTACACACGAACACAGTACTGTAAATGGCCATGTGAATGTCCAACAACAGTACCTATGTGTCCCTCAGGGGTCAGTCTGCTCACAGATGGATGTGAGTGTTGTAAAATGTGTGCCAAGCAAATTGGAGAGAAGTGCACCGAGATGGACATCTGTGATAGTCACAGGGGCTTGTACTGTGACTACAGCAGAGATGCACCTAGGTACGAAATAGGAGTGTGTGCACGTAAGTGAAGTAAATATCTTTTTTTTTTTTTTTTTTAAAAGCAAAGTGTTGGCTCACATACTTCAAGGTGTTGGTGACCATCTTTAGAGCGCTCCATGGCAGTGGACCAGGTTATCTGCAGGACCGCCTTCTGCCACATACCTCCCTTCGACCAGTCCGCTCCCACAGATTAGGCCTCCTCAGGGTGCCGTCGGCCGGACAATGCCGGCTGGTGACCCCCAGGGGGAGAGCCTTCTCTGTGGCAGCTCCTACCCTATG